TTCCGGTGTGCCTTCCCAGAATAAGGAATCCTAAGCAATATGTCCTCAATGCACTTTATGAGAGATTTAGAAGTGTCTGCACGTCCACCTCTCCCAGAACATTCCTCCTATTCCCTTTAAACTTCCCAGCTTTTAACTTTTAAAACTTTTACATTTGACCCGCCTCATGTTTTTAAAATGTGTTGTGTTATTATTGTATTGTTTTTACTTTTTATGAGTTATTTACTGTTTTGTTGTTGTTGTTTTATGATGTTGTTGGGCTTGGCCTCTTGTAAGCCGCACCGAGTCCTGCGGGAGATGGTAGCGGGGTATAAGAACAATAAATAATAATAATAATAATAATAATAATTCTGAATCCTAGAGTTGGAAGAGGCACCCAAGGGCCATCTAGTCCAACCCCATCTCTGCCATGCAGGAATATCAACTAAAACACTCTTGAAAGATGTCTCTGTTTAAAAACCTTGAGAAGGAAACCACATCACACTCCTAATCAGTCCATATTCTACTAGAGTTGGGAAGGATCCTCAAAGATCATCCAGTCTGACCCCTTTCTGACATGCAGGAACATATTCAATCTCAAACAGATGCTATCCAACCTCTATTAGAAAAACCTACAAAGAAGGAGGTTCCAGAAGTTCCAGAACTGGGGGAAACAACTCTGTTGTCGGGTTCCTTTATGCACCAGCTGTGGCTCTGTGAGAAGACACTGTATTTTCAAAGTCCACATAGCCAACACAGAAGCATTGCTGATACTACAAGATCTCTTTTGTTCAGACTAAAAAAGGTTCCCCAGGGTTACTCATGCCTCAATTATACCCAGAACCAGAAATTGTTGGAACTGTTTGAAATGTATAATGTAGATTTGGAAGTATGTATGTATGTTTAAAATGCAATGCTATGTGCCAAGAGTATTCCTGTGTGGAAAGAGTTAACTGTACCATGGAGGTACAGCATTCCTAGAGAGGTCATAAATCTAAGAGTATAGAGCAATGGACGCAGCATCGTGAGTCGTACATCATAAGTCACTCTGGAATGCAGGAGGTGTGGACTAGTACTGATAACAGCGTGTTCGCGACATAGCTACTGGACAGAGAGGAAGCAGTTTTACGATGTGCTACTGTGTATAGTTGTAAATAAAGTAGTTTATAGCCTAAAGGTGACTGTGATGATCGTGTTCCTTGCCTTGCTGTGCAGCCGATGCTACTGACAGAAATCCCACCGACCTCCTTGTCCATGACCAGTTTCAAGGCTCTTTCTTCCTTTTCTAAAGAGAGGATCCAAACGTTAAGACTGAGGGCCTCAGAAAATGTGGCCATTACTCTGTGGACCATTGGGTAAATCCCATTTGGCAATTCAGCTCCAGGTGCAGGGAGATGTTGACAAGCGGGAATGTGTCCAGATGAAGGCGACTCAAATGATCAAATGATTGAGTCGCCTCTGGCTGAGAAAGGCAGTATACAAATACAGTAAGTAAGTAAATAAATAAATAAAGGGTCTGGAGAACAAGCCCTATGAGGAGTGGCTTAAAGAGCTGGTCACGTTTAGCCTGAAGAAGAGACATGAGGAGGGCCAGGGATCAAGAGGTAAGAGGAAGTCACAGGGAGGAGGGAGCAAGCTTGTTTTCTGCTGCCCTGGAGACTAGGATGCAATGGAACAATGGCTTCAAACTACAAGAAAGGAGATTCCACCTGAACATTAGGAAGACTGTGAGAGCTGTTCCGCAGTGGAACTCTCTGCCCCGGAGTGTGGTGGAGGCTCCTTCTTTGGAGGCTTTGAAGCAGAGGCTGGGTGGCCATCTGTCGAGGGTGCTTTGAATGCAATTTTCCTGCTTCTTGGCAGAATGAGGTTGAACTGGATGGCCCATCAGGTCTCTTCCAACTCTGGGATTCTATGGCACGCTCAGTATCTTGATGCAGGGGCAGGATGTTGCATTTCTTGACCTCAAAATCTTCCTTTAAATCTATATATGCTGGGCAAAGTGCTTTGTAATAAGTATATAGCCTTTTCCAAAAGCTCCTCTTTCCTTCTCTTCACACTCTTAAGTCTTTGTGTACTCTGTTGGAGTGAGTATAGTGCTTCCTTTTACCCAGGATCATAAATCACACCAATCTTCTTGTTTCCAGTAAATGGAAAGACTAGGCAATTGACCTTTATGGCATTCCAATTGCATCTTATGGTTCTTGCCATTTGATTTGCTCACACCCACTACCCATCCCCGTCTCCATTTATCGCTTCAGTAACATGACCAAAAAGACTTGCAGTTCTTACGGTTATGATATCCGCCTAGTGTGGGATTTGTTCCAAAATGGTAAACTGCCTTCAATCGATACTTTAAAAAACCAGCCATACTGGATTAGGAGACAACTTTATTATGTATTGTCGAAGGCTTTCGTGGTCGGAATCACTGGGTTGTTGTAGGGGCTATATGGCCATGTTCTAGAGGCATTCTCTCTTGACGTTTCACCTGCATCTATGGCAAGCATCCTCAGAGGGTGTGAGGTCTGTTGGAACTAGGAAAATTGGGTTTATATATCTGTGGAATCCAGGGTGGGAGAAAGAACTCTTGTCTGTTGGAGCTAGGTATGAATGTTTCAATTGGCCACCTTGATAAGCATTTGATGGCCTGACAGTTTTTTGGTGTGGCTTGTTAGTGCCTGGGGGAATCTTTTTTTTGAGAGGTGCTTAGCTGTCCCTGATTGTTTCCTCTCTGTTTGTTTTGTTTTAATACTGGTAGCCAGATTTTGTTCATTTTCATGGTTCCCTCCTTTCTGTTGAAATTGTTCACATGTTTGTGGATTTCAATGGCTTCTCTGTGTAGTCTGACATGGTGGTTGTGAGAGTGGTCCAGCATTTCTGTGTTCTCAGATACAATGCTGTGCCCAGGCTGGTTCATCAGGTGCTCTGCTATGGCTGACTTCTCTGGTTGAAGGAGTCTGCCGTGCCTTTCATGTTCCTTGATGCGTGTCTGGGCGATGCTGCTGCGTTTGGGGGTCCCTATGTAGACTTCTCCACAGCTGCATGGGATACGGTAGACTCCTGCAGAAGTGAGAGGATCCCTCTTGTCCTTGTCCAACCAATGCTCCATTCAGCAAAAGGACAGCTAATCACCTCTCAACAAAAGATTTCCCTAGGCCCTAACAAGCCACTCCAAAAAACTGCCAGGCCATCAAATGATAATCAAGGTGGCCAGTTGAAACATTCCCACCTAGCTCCAACAGCCAAGAGTCCTTTGTCCCACCCTGGTCATTCCACAGATATACAAACCCCTTTTCCTAGTTCCAACAGACCTCACAACCTCTGAGGATGCTTGCCATAGATGCAGGCGAAATGTCAGGAGAAAATGGCTTAATGTCCCAACAGACCTCACAACCTCTGAGGATGCTTGCCATAAATGCAGGCGAAACGTCAGGAGAGAATGCCTCTAGATATAGCCCGAAAAACCCTTCAACAACCCAACTTTGTTATGTTTTAATAGCTGATGTATTTTTTTAACTAAAGTATTTTACATGGCTCTGGAAGCAACTCAAGAAACCTGAAAGAAGTAGGCCACTTCATCCAAGTTGACAGGGTAGTCCGTGACCAACGTGGGTGTCTTGTCGAAGAGCTCTCCTTTGTAGCTGCGCCATTTGCCGGCCGGGATGTAGATGTCCCGTTCTTGCTTGCCCTTCTCCAAAACGGGGGCCACCATCAAGGTGTCCCCAATGAGGAACTGGGAGTCTATTTTGTGAGTGGACTCGTCGTTGGGAGAGATCCACCAGACAGGGCGGATGATGGGGTCTCCAGTGTCTGTTACCTCTGCGGCCAATTCCAGCAAGAGTGGTGCCACCAGAGACTCATGGAGCTTGCTGAACTTGAGAGCAATGTTGATGACCTCTTGATCGTAAAGCCAGGGAGGGATGGAGAACTGCATGGAGGGCATGAAGGCCGAGAGCTCCAGCCAGCGGATGTACAGCTCCCGGTCTGGGACGTCCACTGCGCCGTCCGTCTTGTTGGGAAGAAAATTCCCACAGATCATATCCGGAAGTACGAAAGGGTATCCCAAAAGGCCCAGAGTCAAGACTGTAGGTATTAAGGACTTCAATCCCAGTTCATAACCCCAAATGGAGTCTCGATCAATAACACGGACGAAACAAGGAACATGCTGAGATTGGTAGCCAACGCGGACTTCTGCCATCTCATAAAAAGGAATAGCCATTTCGGCATAAAGTGTAGACCAAAGGCTGGGGTCAAATAATGGCTGGAAGGTTCTGAACTGGTCAGGAAGGTAACAGGTTTCGCCAGCATCAAATTTGAAGGACGATATGCCATACTTGGAGCGAAGTTTGCCCAACTGGCTCTGAAGCCAATCTCTAGCTGAAGGATTGGTGACATCTAATATGGCGCCAACGCCGTTCCACCACTCCACCATGGCAGGAGAGCTCCCCATTGCCTCTGTGACGAAAAGCTCTTTCTCCATCCCCTCCTCAAAGTTTGGAGAATCCTTGTGCACAAAGGGATGGATCCAGACCGTAACACCAAACCCATCCCTCTTAAGTTTTTCAAACATTTCTGTTACACGAGGAAACTTTGCTGGATCAAACTCAAAGTCTCCATAATGCTGCACGTACATGTCATCTATCTCGAGGTGGCTATATCCAAAACCATACTTTTGTATCGTTTGGGCAAATTCCAGAATTTTATCCTGGTCCACTTCTTTTTTGTACAAGGCCCATGTTGACCAGACTGGAAGCCTGAACATCTTTTCTGAAGGCACCTTCGAGGGCTTTCTGAAATAGCTTTGTGCCATGTATTTGTGGACCGAAGTAAGATCTGAACCTAAGCAGATGTGGTAACTCAGCTCTGGGAAGGTTGACCGTCCCAATGGGAGCTTGTAGGGAGAGTCTTTATACCTGGCTTGGAAGGTCAGGGACCTTTCGGTGGCATTGAACCCAAGATGGAAGGGCACAGAGTCATTAATCTTAATGGCCACCGCTTTGGAGGAGAGCCAGTACCTCTCCAGGATGCCTCCAAAGCTGTTCCTGAAAGAATAGACATCGCTGGTCACAAAGGGCATGGGTTCCTGATCGGTTGGTAGCCAAATGGGCCAGTGTTGGATGCTCATCTCATGGCCGCCATACCAGTGGGCATCTCCCCAGAACATCTTGTGTTCCACTGTTGAGTCTGCTACCATCTCCTCCCAAGTGACATGGTAACAGGCTATTGCTTCCTTAGGCCTGACAATCTGGATGGCAAAATGGAACTTCCCTGGGTCCATCCCAGAACAGGTCACAACGTCCCCTTCCTCAGAGCAAGACTCCAGGTCCAGGTGGCCTGACTGGAAGGCCTGCCTGAAGACCACCTTCTCTCCATTCTGGCTTTTGAGGGAAAACCCATCCTGCATTAAGTCCAGCTGCCCCTTCTTCAACCTTTCTGTCTTCTTCAGAGCAACCATGAAACCACACCATGCAGCCGCAAAGACCCCAAAGAGGAGCCCCACAACTAATAATGTCCCTACACCAAATTGAAACTTTTGGGAGGATGGCTCTGAAGAGCTGGGTTTCCATCTGGAGCTCTTCTCTTCCTTCTTCTGCAGTGAAAAGGCTTCTCCATGCTGCTTCTGCATCTCAGCAGGTCTTCTGTGTGGCTCTTATCAAGAGGACCTTCAAAAACACCATCTGTTTGCTAAGCTCTCTGGTAATTCTGGATATCCAAGGGGAGAAGACTATTGCACCAGAGGACAGTGACACAGACCTTGCCCAAGCCAAATGCTGTAAAGCTTAGGCCCCTTTGGCTGGAGATGGCTCTTTTCAGAAGGAAACCCTTGCTGATGCTGCTCTGTAGAAGTCTCTCTCGATAGAGACAGCTGTCAAAATCTAGGTCTTGCAGGCTGCAGGTCTGCGCCACTCAGCTGATCCTGGGATCTTGTTTTGGAAGCCAGTCTCCACGCAAAGAGATCTGGCCGGGATCCCAGCACCAGCCAAGGGCCAATGGGACAGGAGGAAAGGAGAAAGGCCCCAGGGAAAGAGAGAGGAAGTGAGGTGGAGAGCAGAAATAAATAGGTGAAAGGGAAAGCTTTCCCAAAATTGGCGTTCTTAATGCATTCCATAATGCAGGAGCGCTCTCTGCTGGCAAGACCTTTTCCCATCTCAGGTCTCTTTATGGCAGTAGTTCTCAACCTTTCTAATGCCAAGACCCCTTAGTACAGGTCCTCCTGTTGTGGTGACCCCCCAACCATAACATTATTTTTGCATAACATTATTTATCTTTACGAGAGTCAAGATGAAGACCACCCAGAGGAAAAGTGTTCCTGCCATACATCAAGGGAACCACTGACCACATAGGGAAGCTGATGAGGAAACACAACATACAAACAATCTACAAACCCACCAAGAAAATCCAACAAATGCTACGTTCAGCAAAGGACAAGAGGGATCCTCTCACCTCTGCGGGAGTCTACCGTATCCCATGCAGTGTGGACAAGTCTACATAGGGACCACCAAACGCAGCGCCCATAAACTCAAGGAACATGAAAGGCACTGCAGAACTTCAACCAGAGAAGTCAGCCAGAGCAGAACACCTGAGGAACCAACCTGACACGCATATTATTTGAGAACACAGAAATCCTGGACCACTTAACCACCATGTCAGACTACACAGAGAAGCCATTGAAATCCAAAAGCATGTGGACAAGTTCAACAGAAAGGAGGAGACCATGAAAATGAACAAAATCTGGCTACCAGTATCAAAAAACTCTAAAATTACAACAGTAAAATTACAACAGTGTCGGACTGGATGAGGGTGAACAAATTGAAGTTGAATCCAGACAAGACAGAGGCACTCCTGGTCAGTCGAAAGGCCGAACAGGGTATAGGGTTACAGCCTGTGTTGGACGGGGTTACACTCCCCCTGAAGACGCAGGTTCGCAGCTTGGGTGTGACCCTGGATTCATCGCTGAGCCTGGAGCCTCAGGTCTCAGCGGTGGCCAGGGGAGCATTTGCACAGCTTCGGCTCGTGCGCCAGCTGCGCCCGTACCTCGGGAAGCCGGACTTGGCCACGGTAGTCCACGCTCTGGTCACATCCCGCATAGATTACTGCAACGCGCTCTACGTGGGGCTGCCCTTGAAAACTGCCCGGAAGCTCCAGATGGTCCAGCGCTCGGCAGCCAGGTTGCTAACAGGAGCAGCTCTCAGGGAGCATACCACTCCTCTGTTGAGCCAGCTCCACTGGCTGCCAATTCCCTACCGGGCACAATTCAAGGTGCTGGCATTAGCCTACAAAGCCCTAAACGGTTCCGGCCCCACTTACCTCTCCGAACGCATCTCCACCTATGAACCGACGTGGACATTAAGATCGTCCGGGGAGGCCCTGCTCTCGATTCCGCCTGCGTCACAGGCACGGTTGGCGGGAACGAGAGACAGGGCCTTCTCGGTGGTGGCCCCTCGGTTATGGAATGCCCTACCAAGCGACATCAGACAGGCCCCTTCGTTGCTGGCATTTAGGAAGAAGCTCAAAACCTGGCTCTTTGAGCAAGCGTTTGGCTAATCGGCGCAATGGCACACAGAATGACGGTAAACTGAACATAGGAACGGTATAAGGATATGAGACTGGATCTTGTTTGCGATCGAGGCACGGTATGAATGGTTGTGTGTTTGTTACTGGGTATGCTGTGTTTTAATTGTTATTGTTGTGGTAATTAATATTGTGTAAACCGCATTGAGTCACCTATTATAGGTTGAGAAACGCGGTATAGAAATAAAGCAAATAAATAATAAATAAATAATAAAACAACAGAGAGGAAACAACCAGGCACACCTTAACACCTCTCAACAGAACATTTTCCCAGGCTCAGCCAGGCCTTCAAATGCTAATGAAGGTGGTCAGTTGAAACATTCACACCTAGCTCCAGCAGACAAGAGCTCTTGCCCCACCCCAGTCATTCCACAGATATATAAACCCATTTCCTATTTCCAACAGACCTCACTACCTCTGAGGATGCTTGCCATAGATGCAGGCGAAACGTCAGGAGAAATGCCTCTAGAACATGGCCATATAGCCCGAAAAAACCTACAAGAACCTAGTGATTCCGGCCATGAAAGCCTTCGACAATACGTTGTGAACTGCTGCTACCTCATAACTGAAATTTTGCTACTGTTATGAATCGCAATGTAAATATCTGATATGCAGGATATCTTCATTCACTGGACCAAATTTGGCACAAATACCCGATATGACCACATTTGAATACTGGTGGGATTGGAGGGGGGAATTGTTTTTGTCATTTGGGAGTTGTAGTTGCTGGGATTTACAGTTAATCTACAATCAAAGAGCATTCTCAACTTCACCAATGATAGAATTGAACCAAAGTTGGCACACAGAATTCCCATGACCAACAGAAAATACTGGAAGGGTTTGGTGGGCATTGACCTTGAGTTTGGGAGTTGTAGTTCACCTACATCTAGAGAGCACTGTGGACTCAAACAAGGATGGTTCTTGTAGGTTTTTTCAGGCTATAGGGCCATGTTCTAGAGGCATTTCTCCTGACGTTTCGCCTGCATCTATGGCAAGCATCCTCAGAGGTAGTGAGGTCTGTTGGAATAGGAAAATGGGTTTATATATCTGTGGAATGACTGGGGTGGGGCAAAGAGCTCTTCTCTGCTGAAGCTAGGTGTGAATGTTTCAGCTGATCACCTTCATTAGCTGAAACATTCACACCTAGCTTCAGCAGAGAGCTGTTTGTCCCACCCCAGCCATTCCACAGATATATAAACCCATTTCCTACTTCCAACAGACCTCACTACCTCTGAGGATGCTTGCCATAGATGCAGGCGAAACGTCAGGAGAAATGCCTCTAGAACATGGCCCTATAGCCCGAAAAAGCCCACAAGAACCTAATAAATTATTATTATTATTATTATTATTATTATTATTATTATTATTATTATTGTGCTGCAGCAGAAAACAATAGTACAGTCTGCAAAAGAAATATGCATACACTCCGTAACTATAATAATAACAAAGCTTTATTTGTATGCCACCATCATCTCCCCGAAGGGTCTAGGGTTGGCGCAATAGTGCAATAATAGGCATTGGCAAAGCACTCACAAGTTAAACAGTATACAAATACAACAAAATACAGAAAAGTATAAATTAATAACAATAAAATTGACCCAATTATACTTACAACTGCAATAAGACCCCAAATAATTTTAAAATACTATAAAACCCAGCAAGCTACGAGAATAGCGGTTGTATACAATATCAGTCCCCATAAAGTGCAGAAGTGAAATCACTAAAACCTCAAATATAGTGATTAAGGCCATAATCGGGCCATAATTCTGCAACCCGTGTCCAGCCCTTTGCTGGCCTGGAGGAGGTGGAGGCTGGGCCCAGCTAGATGCCTTCTGGCACTGAAGCCGGGAACCCCCCCCCCCCAGAATGGGGGATAGTGACTTGTAGCCCTGCAAAGGGCAAGGGCACCAGACTGCACAGTAGGGGGTTAAGTCTTGGTCACATTGCCAAGGCACTGACAACAACAAGGACCCCACGAGGCTTTTGGGAAATGGCTGGATCTTGGGACTTCTTGTTGCAATCCAGAGCAGGGAACGAGGCCCTAAGATAACTATCCACCACACTTGGCTGTGAAAAACAATCCTTTTTTATTGAAGAAAAATGGTTACAAAATAAAGGAAAAATGCAAGTCAAAAGCCACAGCAAAATCAGCAAACATGAATTTAAATGGACAAAGCAAAACCAAAAGCCTCACTGGGAAATACTGGAACCTGTTAGCAATCCACTAACCGTACTTGATATCCTAGAAATCTTCCCAAACTATAGCCAGGGAACCGGGAGAACTGCCAAGGTCTTCATCAATTCTGAAACGATGCCTGAACTGAGACAATCAGCCTGTATTGCAATTAAAACTCAAGAATCGGTTCCGTGAACCGCCCTTCTGTTTTGAAGCCAATGTTTTTAATTCTTGAATTCGGGAGGATCGACGCAAACTGAGTGTTTTACTTCTGTCTTCCCAAATTTGGCCCCTTCTGTTGTCATTACAGTTAACAGGTGCAGAAGGGAGGGGAAGTTCAAGGTCTCCCTCTGAAACATTCTCATGAACACTGGTACTTTCATTTTCCAAATCTACAGAAGTTCCTTCCTCACTAATTTCAGGAACATTGGCATTTTCCAAACCGACAGCAGTTTCTTCCTCACTAATTTCAGGAGCATTGGCATCAAAAGGTACATTTCCACTAGCATCAGTAAATATACTTTCATTAGCATCAGGAGGAACAAACAGAGAATCAGGTTCAAGTTCAAACTCAGGCTGAACCCCAACACTTCTGCCCTTCGTGAGAGTTGTAGTTTCCCAAGGACCAAAGTATGAATCAGTTGCAGCACAGCTGAGGTTTCATCTGCCAGCCTTCCCAATGATCATGGACTCTCTGCCTGCATGTCTTGGACTTCAGTACATACTCTCTCCCTCATTAACTTTCCTCAAAGACCTTTTAAAACATTGGACTTCAGGCTTCTTCATGAAAATTAATCCTCTTGTTAAATATACTTGGGATGTGGGACAAAGATGGGGTTTTGTTGCTATGAAATGCTTATGATTTGAATGTATGTATCTTGCTATGAAATATCTTTTGCCCTCTTTACCCTTGCCCTTTGCCCCAAAAAAAGGCGACCAGGAAAAACCACTCAGTGCCCAAGGGGGCTGTTGTTCCCTCGAAACCAACCTTATCACAGACATTTGCATGGACAATAGCAACTGGAAATTCTTTGTTTATTTTTCTGAGTTGGCCTGATAAAACAGGGAATTTCTCTGGTCACATTTTAATTTAATCACAAAGGGGCAAGACTGGCCCCAAGGGTCTTCTTGCCCGGCTGTTTGTTTCATCCAAAAACCCATCAAAACCAACACACCTTATCTGATCCTGGAAGGGGAAAACCTGAATCAAATGATTATCCCTAATCACTGATCCATCACAAGAACAAAAAAAAACTGGTTTCATCCTCTCTGGACACAA